GCGCCATGCGCACCCTTACCGAGTCCTGGTGGAAGAGAGAAACCAGTCGGCCCGCCAGAGTTATCCTGTACTCCGTGGTGAGGCTGTGGATTCTGCTGATTTGTCACAGCAGCGTCAGGTCCGTACCTCCCGCGAATGACTCCCTGAGACGTTCCATGCTCAACCTGACCGGTGAAAATCCCCCCTGTAGGGGAACATCCGGGATACGTGTTGATGGTCCCCCTCAGAACTGCTCGCCCGACTACGGGCGAAGACATCGCCCTTGGTGGCATTGGCCCGGCAGCTCCGGCGTGGGAACAGGAACCAGAGTTCCCTTGGTGCGGTTCAGGACTCCGATGTGACGGATCTCCACGTGATGGCCCGGATCCAGGATCAGGAGCAGTGCCATCCCGCTGATTATGATCAGGAATGCAATCAGGTCCTCCAGGCCCCGCACTGGGACCGCGATGCTTAGTTTTCCCGTCGGGGTCAGCTCTCAGACAACCGAGGCAAATAGGTCGAACACTCGATCCAAAACGGCGCACATCGTCAGGTGAGGCGATGTGTTGATCGCAGTACTCGTCCTTGCATATGAGGCACCTCACAAGTCCGTGTCTCCCCCCTCTTCCTCTGCATGCGCGGCATCTAGGAAACTGATCGCTGCACTTGAAACACGAGTTACAATCATGGTCAAAGCAGTCTTCGCAGACTGACTTGCCGCAGCTTCGGCATGGATAGCGAGGTTCCCGATGCTGTGGATGCCCGGGCTCCTCATGATCACACCTGGCCCGGTTATCAGGGGCAGCGCCGGCAGCCCGAGCAATGGCCCTCGTTCTAGAGGGATCCCTGCCGAAGATGGGGGCTGATGGTGACGGTGGGGGTGGCCCTGAAGGAGGTGGAGGTGGAGGAGGCCTAGCCGAGCTGACGGTGCGAGCATCACGAGAGGGAGAACCTCTAGGAGCCCTTCCCTGGGTTAAGGGATCAGTGTCTCCAGATTTCTCCCATGGTCCCGTTCCGGCGGTCGAAGCAGCGCCAGCACTTGAAGGGGGGCAGCAAGAGGTTGCTCCCTCAACTCAGCGATCTGCATGTTGATCTCATTGACCCTCAGCACAAGCTTCATAAACTGCTCTTGCATGTCCCTCGGATTGGGGCCTAAGCTTTTGTCATGAAGGTCCTTGACGCATCTAGCAATACGGGACAATTGAAGCTTGAACTCTTCCTGTTTCTGTGAGTTCTCATTGAGAGCTCCGGACATCCTATCACTGAACTGCTTCAGGTCGGTCGCAGGAACGAGCTGCTGGATATACGTCTCGACGTTCCCACGGATGGTTCTTTCCCTTGAGATGGTTCCCTCAATGTCGATGACACTGCGAGAGTTCGCCTCAACTTCGTCCTTGATTTTCCGAACCTCAGCCTCAAGGGCCCCGATCTCAGAGAACCTAAGGAGCTGGACCTTGACGTTCTCAAGTGATTCGGCCTGCTCGCGAAGTTCAGCAGCGGATATGACGATCGAGTCAGACCTCTCATCATACATCTTGAAACGCTCATTCATCTCCTTTTCGCTTTGGGCGACCCACTCGTGGAAATCACGGAACTTGGCCTCGTGTTTTGAGAGAGTTCCGGCAACGGCAGAGAAAGATGATTCAACCTTCTTCTCGAAGGCGTCAACACGGTTATTGATCTTCTTGATCTCACCGACGCAAGCGTTGACATCATCCCTACATGAACGAATCTCGGTTCTGCATCCCTGGATTTCGGCCTTGCACCCCTTTACCTCGTTGTGGATCGCGAGAAGCAGTCGTTGAAGCTCAGATGCAACAGGATGGCCGCCACTTGTGGAAGCAGACGGAGCAGGACGACTATCAGCGTCATGATCTCCGCGCCTATTTTCTTCCCTGTCAGGAGTGCAGCCCGGAGTTCCAATTTGAAAGAATGCGGGGACGAGGGAGTTGTTGACCGGTTGATTTGAAGGAAGCCCTCCATGACCAGGAGCAACAGTGCTGAGTCCAGGTCTCCGATTCCTGGGCGTAGAGTTAATCCCGTCATCAGTCTCCTTCTCAGACATCGGGGCATTGGAGCTGAGCCCAGACCCCGCAGAGTGGATAGGAACGTCAATAGGATCGTGATGAGCTGGGGGATTAGATCGCAATCGCAAAGCAGCTTCACGTCTCTCGGGTGACTCAGAGCTCCTCTTTGTGGCTCGTGAGTCAGTGCCGGTTTGTCCCGACATGTTATCAAAAGATGACGACCCGCGAAGTTGAGCTTGATCTGGATCAGGTTGAGTGAGATCAAGCCGTTGAGCAACGTCACCAATGAGTGGCTTAGGGGAAAGTACTTTGGCAACGCGGCTCGGCGGGAGCGATGTCGTTCGTCTCTCTGGTGTGACCTCGGCCTCATCGATTACATCAAGGATTCCAGGGATGGTTTCATCATCTTCATTTCCTCTCATGGGTGGCTGATGGAAGGGGATGTCGAGGAGGTCAAATGGAGTGGAGCCAATACCAGGTGTATCCTGCTCGGATCCATCGCTGGCACGGTGGCTGGACTGCTCCTCGAGGTCGATGACGTCGGGGGCGGACTCTTTTCGAGTCTGACGCCGATTGAACGCCGCGAAGAGACCGGCATGGCTTCTTGACGAAGAGGAGGAAGGATTTGGGCCTGCTGTTTCGCGGCCCACATCCGATCGATTAGTACCTGATGTCCGATTTGGCGGATTTGAGCCCGCGTTGTAGCGGTTCGCATCCCGACCTCGGGTACCTGAGGAAAGCGGTGGATTCGGACCAGCGTTGTAGCGGTCCGCATTCCGGTCACGGGTACCTGACAGGTGAGATGATACTGCATCAGGGATGAAGTCCATATCCGCCGGACTGGGGTGATCGTGAATGATGTCAATGTCGGATGAACCTGAGACGGGAGGAGGGCCAGCTATTTGCGGCCAATCCTCAATCGCCCGTTTGCCCACCTCGGGTTGGGCCGAACCTGCAACATGAGAAGGGGAGAAATCTTCAACGGGGTCATTTTCTCCATCATGAGGAAAACCCTGAGTAGGCTCATGCGACGGCAGGGCATCAAAGGATCTGTCAATTCGGGAAGGCTGAGACCTCCAATCAGCATCAAAAAGGGATTGAAAATCCAGATTCCCAACCGAAACGGGGGCACCCGAGTTAAAGTCGAGCCGACCGAAATCAGGCGGTGTAGCCTGCGATCCACTGCCGAGGAGTTGGTCAAACTGATCCCATGTAAGGGACCATGATTGAGCCGGCTCCGGATGAGCAGCATGATGGACAGCCCGGTCCTCGATCTGGAGCGCCACGAACGGAACAGTAGGCGAAATCGATGAGGGCACCTGATTTGGAGGAACCTCAGCCTCTTCTAGAGGGGGTCCGTCCTCGATCTGGAGCACTGCCGCCGGGATAGGGGCCTCCGCATCCTCATCAAACACAACCTGAGAAAGGATCCAATCGTCCGTGATCACCCCGGGATTGGGCTCTGCGCCCACCATCGGGGGGATGGGCCACAGCCGGCTGTCTAAGCCGGGGCAGCAGGCGCGGCGTTGCCGCGAAGGGCGTTGGCCTCGTCGTCCACGAAGCCCGGCCCACGATGAGAAGCTCCGGGGGACGCCATTGCTCGTACAAGTAGGCGATGGGAGCAGGTAGCGGGTCACGTCCCGCAACCGGATCACCAGCCCCAGCTTCTAGCTGGTACGGCTGATAACCTGCGGTTTTGGGCGAACACGAAGTAGCCCAGGGAATCAAAGAGGTACACGTGGTTCACGAAGTACCAAAAGAACCCAGTCCCAAAGCACAATGTAGAGGGTGCCGGTGACCAGATTGTGGGAGTGACAGTTAATGAAGATCAAGTTTGGGGAGGTTAGGAAACTGGTAGAAGAAGGTAAAGACAAGGGTCGGGCCCGGGAGCACCTCGGCGACCTGCCGCCCACCTCCTAGTGCCGAACAGCTGGAACACCACGGACCTTTTCCGCGATGGCGCAGCCAATCGCCGCACTATGGCGAACGCACGCAAATCCAAGGAAGTCCCGACGGGGGATCCAAATCTTGAGCCAAACGGCCATTCGGCCGTTTTGCCACATGATGAAACAACACGTGAACAAAACACACAAACAAACAATCAAGCAATCCATCAATCAATAAAACAAACAACCAAACAAACAAGCAATCAAACAAGCAAACAATCAGACGAACAACCTCACACGAAGGCACAACCAGATACACACACAAAACTCAACACAGCAAAACAAACAAAGCAACAAAAACACCACAAAGCAAAACACAAGAGACAAACACAAACACACAAACAGCAACAGACAAACAAACAGGCAAACGGACAGGCAAAGCACAAGCAAACAAACACACAGACACAAGCACAAGCCAATGACACAAACAACCAACCAACCAGCAAAACACATCAACACCAAGCAAACCGCAACAACACAAATGAGACAAGCACATGATACAGCCAACCAGGCAACCAAGGCAAACCTAAGCAAATCACATTAAACCCAGGCGAACAACAAACAACCACATCAAACAAGTCCAGCGAGTCAAACGGATTCCATGGAAGTTCCATGTTGACCAAGCGCCACCGTCACAAGATGGCTTCCCTTGTCCTGCATGGGGTGCATATGGCCACTCGAAGGACATGTACCCTTGTTTCCTGGGGTATCATAGATTTACTCTGGGGGTGTCTTTGCAGACTAGGATGCAGCGAGCTTAGGAAACTGGCTCTTGTTTGAAAGCCTGAGATAGCACATGAAACGCATATCTGAAGGGCGTACGGATCCGGACTTCCATGGGACCAAAGAAATGGCACTCTTACTCTTAGTCAATAACGAAAACAAGGAGAACAAGGAATGGAACAAAGGGCGGAAAAAGAGGAATCTAGCTCTCCAAAAAAATGGAAGAAAGGCACTCAACTCTACCAGGTCTGTGTGGTTATCTTAGACTCGTCCTTCCTTCCAAACAATCGACGCAAGGCGGCCCGCGGGCGCGTGGCGCTTTGCGCCTCGCCCCGGCTGAGCTCGGCTTCCTTCGAGCTGACGCCGCCGCCGCCGAGGGCCAAGATCTGCTTGGCGCCGGTGACCTCTCGGCGAAGCGGCGAGCGGCGAGCGAGCTGCGCGCGAGATCTTTTCGTTTTTGCCCGGGACAGCACCCAGTTGAGTTGCGCCGAAAAGCAAAAAGGGGGCCTGTCTGATGATGATGATGATGATGATGATGATGATGATGAGGATGATGCTGATGATGCTGATGATGAGGGTGATGATGATGATGATGATGATGATGATGATGATGATGATGATGATGATGATGATGATGATGGCATCAGTCGCCACTAAGGGACCCAGAAAAAGGATAAATGACTTGAATGATGATGCTGGATCTGGGAAAATTACCAAGACGGTTGCGGTGTAAAGCTGAGGAAGTTGCGCAGTGCCAGTGACCGCAGTAGAAAGCAAGAGCCCCTTATTTCCGGGCATCATTTTTAGTGGGGACCCCAAACAAAAAGAGGAACACTGTGTCAATCGACAACGGGGCCAGCAGTGGATGCCAACTTATTAAATGATGCTGAGACCCTCACGCACCGGACAATGCTTTGGGATGACAATCTTTAGTGGGGAATGATACGAAGATTTGCCCATTCGCGGGCCTGCGGGAAACTCAAACGCCATTGCTCTCCACTCCTTGCCATATGAGCAAATAGCTTTGCTTTGTTGCAGCCACCCACTAGACATGAACCGTGTTGGTCATCTTAAGGTTCAGAGCTCCACTATTGAATGGGACTCCAGCCAGGGTCAACCGATCCAAGCTCCGGTTGAACCATTGCCTTTTATGGTTTGATCGTCTAAGCCGATTTCGCCCAAACTTGCTTCCACCCCGCTTCTCAACATAAGACCCTGGGCATGCCTTTCCCACCCATTGAGCGTGAAGCCCAACAAACCAGGCTGCTCCCGAAGGCATTTGACCAACATGACCAACTGCCCGCAGCTTGACTCCGAATCCCCAATCCTAATCTTCCATCGCTGGAGGCTGTCGATCGAATGGCCACAAAATAACGACGGCCCGCTCGCCTTAAGAGCCACCCGCCCCAGCTGCACAAACTTCTCGCGAGGCCCTAGGGACCTAGCCGGCGAGGGGGGGGGGGGGGAAAAGAGACCGGAAAGACCAAAGAACTAAATTTCGAACGAGTGGCTTGGCCAAGTCCTACTTGCTGTTTGCCACCAAGCTGGTCTCCACCAAAGGATAAGACAAACAGCTGGGATGGGGCGTGGGCACGGAGGGCTTGGGTTGGATGTTGTGGCGCAAACACTTCAGGCAAACTGAAGGGAGAAACTCAGCCCTTTCCCGCCCAGCCAATGACGTACTCACCGCTTAAAGAGGAGCAACGGCAGCTTACTTCTCCTTCAGCGGCTTTCGCCAAGCTATCGGCGGTCTCACGCCCAAACATTCTTCCCGGCAACATCACCTAACAGAGAGATTTCAGCCATAGAAGAAGCATATGGACCATATGGACACATATTGCAAGTTCATGTTTCTTTTCAACACCATATTGCGCAACTTGATCCACCCAGTGCCCAGAGGCTGACACCCAAAGCTGGGCAGGTTCCTACAACTTTTCCAGGCTGGGGGAGGTTTCTGTGCAGAGTGTGCGACATCAACATGTTGCAGAACGAAAAACACCAATCAACCTGGGTTCCAACAGACCGCGGTGCTATCTAGGGGACATGTGCGTGTCAAGTCGTCTGCATGTGTAATTTGTCTTTAGAGGGTTTCTTTAATGTGAAACAGGGGCCGGACACCAAACAATTTCGTTGCTTGCTCTTGTTTCTTGTTGTCTGTTTTTTGTGGGGGGGGGGGGGCAGATTTTGTTTCTTCTTCCTGCTGGTTGTCTTTTATATTTGTTTTTATTTATTTTTATTGGGTGGGTGGGTGGGTGGGCGGGCAAAAAACACCCCTGCCAAAACTGGAGCCCTGGACGCCACAATTCGCCCCCGTCGCAGCGCCTCAGCTCGGAGGCGTCGAGGTATCGTGGCGGATCCTGGAAGCGAACAGTTCCACTCTGCGCGTGCCGTCGCCTTGGGGAGCGTTTTTCCCCCAAACCTTGGGAATTTGAAGCCGTTCTAACATCACCAAACCTGGAGCCAGTCCCAAAACATCTCGGGTAAGTAAGGGTAGACATGTAAGCTGTAAGATGGTACCAAACCTGAATTTGAAGCCGTCCTTTCGTCCTTTCCCCAAAACACCTGGGAGATTTGAATCCGTTTTAACATGATTTTTTAGACAGGGAGAACACGTAAGATGGAGTTTGAAGCCGTTTTGACCTCACCAAACCTCGAGCCAGTCCCAACAAGTCATAATAAATGTGTAGCCCATGACATCAGTTTAGTAAGGGTAGACATGTAAGATGGTACCAAACCTGGGAACCTCGAAATTTGAAGCCGTCCGTTCGTCCTTTCCCCAAAAAACCTGGAAAGAATTGAATCCGTTTTAACATTTCTTTTGGACAGGGAGAACACGTAAGAGAGTGAGTTTGAAGCCGTTTTGACCTCACCAAACCTCGAGCCAGTCCCAACAAGTCGTAACAGATATGTAACCCATGACATCAGTTTAGGAAGGGTAGACATGTAAGATGGTACCAAACCTGGGAACATCGGAATTTGAAGCCGTCCGTTCGTCCATTCCCCAAAAAACCTGTACAATAGGGTCGATTGTAGGATCTGCTGGAATCCACAATGCGGGGCCGTTGACAAAAAAAAGTAAGCACCTGACAAAGCGTGCTCGGAAGATCTGGTTCTTGAAGGGAGCCCCCAGTCAGGTGCATGGCAGTGTGGGAGGGGGGCATGACGCTCCCGCTTCACTTTTTGGAGGTGATGTGTAAAACCAGCAGCGGGCATGGATGGAGTGCGCCGGCAACTGGGTGTTTAATGATCAACCCGTGATCAATAGGTCAACCAGTTGAACCACAAGCAATGTAGCTGTCCTCAAGGGGCTCGCTCAATCTGCGGGCCATCAAATTCAATCAAGCCGGGTTCACGGCAAGTGGGTGTTCAAACACAAATCTTGACTGGCCTTGAACAGTACTCTTCAGGCACAAAGAACGGCTCAGGCAGATTCTGCCTTGAACACCTAGAAAGTCAAAGGATGCGTTTAAAAGTATATCAAAACGATCTTCCTCTCTGTACTTGCAAATCATTCTGTACGCACCCTTCTCCTAGAAGGCTCCCACAAATCACCCCGCAGTGCCCTGTATTCCAAAGAGGGGGCCTAAAAGGCATCCCCTTGTCTGAGCCACTTTTCCCTCAGCTCTTCAAGTGGTCTGCTTTGAGCCTCTGGATTTCCCGGAAAGTCAACTGCCGGTAATTTTCTACTTTAGCCTGGCTACGGGACGTCCACGTTTGTTCGCAAGATATTTTCATCATGGATGGGGCTGCTCGCTTTACCTGCGGGTCGCTGAGCTCGGGATTACTTTGCCCAAATGTGATCAACTCGGAACCCAGAGAAACACAACACAATCAGAGAAACACGCGCAGACACAACAAACACAAAGTAAAGAGTATAAACATCAAAAAGAACCAACACCAAAAAGAAAAACAACACAAAGGGGAACCACACCAAGGATGATGTTGCGAAGACACAAAAGAAAACCAAACAACTCGACGCCCGCTGGCATTGGAACCGTTCTCCTGGTCCATGTCCACAGGGACTACCACCATTCTGCCCGGATGCCGGGACGCCACCTCCGCACGACTTGCGAACGTCGGCCTTGCTTGAATGTGCACCCTTGACGTCCTGGTTTGGGTTGAAACAAGTTGGAGAGGTATCCAAATCGCAGAGGTTCTTCACAAGGAACGCCGGACTAAGGAAAGTTTCTTGGAGAGATATCCAAGGGAAGTTCTTCCTGTATGAACCCAGGCTATTGGGGGCTGAATTCCAATCCAATTTTCGCCCAAAAGGAATCTGCATCCGGCGTGCGGCCTCCTGCCAGCTGGTCCTAAAGCTGCCCATCTCGCTCTGCACCCTGAGCCATGCGAGATGAGCGGGTGAAGTGCCTGAACCCGGGAGCTATTCGCTGTTGGGGACCCCCTATCCATAAAGTGTGCTGCACGGTGGTGACAGCTTGGGCGGGTTCTTGAAAAAGAAGGAAGTCAGGACGCTAAGCAGGCGGGATGCTCTGGTTGCGTTTTTGTTCGCTTGAGGACTCAGGACGTTAAGTCCTCAGCATTTGAAGTTTATTGCATCCCCCCAAGCCCGAAGGACATGCAACTCAGATCTGCCCAAAAGGTGATGCTTTAAGGACGCACCATTTGACGGTTGCCCACGCCACATGGATCCCGCCACAAAATAAAGGATAGGGGGCAAACAAAAATGATGGCAAGGCACCAGGCACCGTGTGGACACAACCAGGCAGCAACCCGCCTATTTTATATCCAACGCATGTCCCAACGGGCATCCTTTAGCTCGGATGAAGTGTTCACCCTGATTCAAACACCTCGTTATAATTAGGGGTTCCCTTGAAAGAAAGCTCTCTCTAAAAGCTCCCCTCTGCATTGAGGACCCGCTCGGAACTGGTTCTTGTGAAGGCATGGCTTTGACAAATCAATCTGACGTCACCGATTCGTGGTTGACATCCCATCCAACCAATCACTGAAGCGTGGATTTCCGCTTTCGGTCTTGCAGAAAGCGTCCGCAGGTGTTCCATCACCATGCCTCCCAACTACTGGCGCGTCAGCAGCCTGAATGTCAGGAAAGCGCCCCAAGAACAATCAGAACCAAACCTGGACCAAACCATTGGTGGATTTCTGCGTTCTTGGGCATGGTTGATTTTGGAAGGAAGCGAGCCCAAAAAGTGAAGGAAGCTGACCCGAAACCGTTGGTCTTTTTTTTTTTCCACCACTGAACTGGTTTTCTGAAATTGCAAAGTCCAGGACCTCCGGGAGTGAGGAGAGTGGATGTCCACGCCCTGCTTTTTGGCTGGTTGCTCTTGAATTCCAGAAAAACCGCGGGCGCTGGCCTGAATGCCGCGACCGTCTTTCCCTGCTCCAGCAACTGCGGGATGAGCCGGGTAAAGCTTTTTTCCCGGAGCTCGTCTCCGTCCCAGACCTCAGGGCGCGGGAGGTGATGGTGACGGCGCTAGGGTTCTCACTTCTAAACCAGGCTGCTTTGCGAGTTCGGGCCAGGCTGATGTTGCATGCGCCGGTCAGGGTGCTGTGGTGGTGCTGGTCATGCCGTTTGGTGTCCTCAAGATGGCGCGGTTGCTGGCGGTGCTTGCGTGGCGATGCAAGCAAGGTGCTGGTCTGCTGTCTGGGGCCTATGCTGGTGGGAGGACAAGCCAAAAGGATGTTGTTGCAAAGCCTGCAAAATACTCAGAGCTCCAGCCCAGCTTCCTTGGGAAACACCATGGATGGACGAAATCCATTTCGCACCACTTTTGAATCCGTAGTTTCAGGGGGGTTTATCGAACCAGGGCTTCTTGGGTGATGCCGGCCATCCACAGTAGCTGGGCACTCTTTTCCGGTTTTGCGCGGGGTTCCCTCAAGGTCTGTTTCCTGCCAAGAGGTGTTGGCGACATGGAACCTGAAACCAGGATCCTTGGAGTTTTCGCGCTATGAGCGCGTGGCCACGAGCGAAAACTTGGCCGCCATGTGTAGCGCATCCTGCGAGGTTGGCCACAGTTTAGCCACGGAAGGCGGAAACACCTGGGAAATTCCGGTGATTTGTGTGCCCCCTTGCACGCCGCAGTGTGTAAAGGGAAAACCTTGGGCGATGATCAGCCCTCAACTTATGTTCTTGCCTGCTTCTTGCCAAAAATACAGATGTCTCAGATAGTCTCAAACGTTGGCCCCAGGGAAACTGTTCAGCAACTTCCTGCCCGGATACCGCCTTTGCTGGCCCGGCAATACACAAATCCAACCGTCTGAGTGAAATCGCTCAAGCCAGAAGAAGTCATTGGCAAACTTAACAGCTATTGTTCAAAGCCACAAGAAGATCATCCGGAATCTTCATAGAAAGCAAGTGAAGCCATTCCATGGCCTGCAAGGACCGTTTTTTGTGTGAGCGGCACGTGCGCTGCCAACCATTAGGGCACGCTGAAAATCAGCAACTCACAGTGTGCAGGTGCACTTCGCATTCCGCCAGGTGGGGCCGCTCCAATGGATTAAGCCCCCGGTGGCCATTGGAGAAAAGGGTATCACTGAAGGTCCGTGTCACAAGCAAACTTACCGCAACTTGGCCGTTGCTTATCCCAGTCAGAAAGCCCTGCATGAGCAATCTACACTGCTTCTTCCCCGTCTAGTCTCAAAGTCATCATCACGCCTACCCGGTACTTGAAATTTGGCTTGGTGGACATGTTGTTTTTTTGGCACGCTTGTTTCTGGGATGGGCGACGCGACTTGCCATGACCCCGCAAACTTTTGCAGTGCGGCACTCTGCCTTTTGGTGCTTCCCCCCCTTCCACTTTGATACCGTTCCATTGAGCCCTTCGCCACGTTTGGAGGTTCCAACACGGGAAACGGCCTCCACCCCCTCCACCCTCACTTCCTGAGTGGATCGGCCAGAAAAGGGCGAACAAACATCTAAGTACCACCAAAAAATCGTCCACCCCCCCCCCAAAAAAAAGTGAGGGACCAAGTTTATTTTTTCTCGATGAGCCACTTTCCCCGCCTGGTCGTAGTGGTCCTCCACGTTGCTTCCGAAGCCCTTGATGTGCAGAACCTCCCCCGGCAACTTCAAAGCCCAGTCCCGGAACTCTTCAATCGCCACCTGTCGGAAAGAAACGCCAGGGCCTTGACCGAAAACATGCTGGAGGGAAACCGAGATGGATCAGAATTGGTTGAGTCCAACTTTTGAAAGGGCGTTTTGGGGAGCACCTGGCCAGTTACATGAATCGGGGTGAGAGATTTAGCCCACTTTCCATCTGTTGTGGGCTTTGTCACGGACCCAATCGATTGGCGAATGAATGCCTCTAATGGATGGGATATGGATGTAAGATTGAAATGCTTCGGCTCAGTTCGGTTTCACTTAGACTCGCATGCCCCAAAATGGATTCCCTCAAACAAGGCACGGTCATGAACCACAAAGACTGATTCTGGAGACTTGTCAAACAGTTTTGCCGGGGTTGCCTTTGGTGACTTCTGAAAATGCCACGCTGGTCATGCGAAACCGCGGGCTGCGCAAAAATACAAGCTCAATTCAGCTTCTTCTCTGCACGTTGAAAACACGTTGACAGAGCAACAGCGTCACTACAGAAAAGCTGTTTGGAGGCACGGTCCCAAACTGCAAGCCATTTCCTGCTAGCCATCCATCCAACCAACCATCCATCCAACCAAGCCACCAACCAACCATCCATCCAACCAACCAACCAGCCATCCATCCAACCAACCTCCGTCCAACCAACCAGCCAACCATCCATCCAACCAACCATCCAACCAAGCAACCAATCATCCATCCATCCAACCAACCATCCGTCCAACCACCCAGCCAACCAACCAACCATCCAACCATCTTTCCATCCAACCAACCATCCATCCATCCATCCAACCAAGCAACCATCCAACCAACCAACCATCCATCCAACCATCCATCCGTCCAACCAATCCAACCAACCAGCCAACCATCCGTCCATCAAACCATCCAACCATCCATCCAACCAACCAACCATCCAACCAACCATCCAACCAACCAACCATCCATCCAACCAACCAATCAGCCACCCAACCAACCATCCATCCGTCCGGCCAATTAGCCAACCATCCACCCAACCAACCATGCAACCAACCATCCATTCAAACAAACATCCGTCCAACCACCCATCCAACCCACCAACCAGCCATCCATCCAACCATCCGTCCACCCAACCAACCACCCAACCATCCATTTAACCAACCATCCAACCATCCATCCGTCCAACCATCCGTCCAACCAACCAACCATCCATCCAACCATCCATCCAACAAACCAACCATCCATTCATCCAACCAACCAACCATCCCTCCAACCAACCATCCAACCAACCAATCATGCATCCAACCAACCATCCATCCGTCCGACCAATTAGCCAACCAACCAACCATACAACCAACCATCCATTCAATCAACCATCCGTCCAACCATCCATCCAACCCACCAACCAGCCATCCATCCAACCAAACATCTATCCAACAAACCATCCACATCCAACCAACCATCCGTCCAACCACCCAGCCCACCAACCAGCCATCCATCCAACCATCCATCCACCCAACCAACCACCCAACCAACCAACCAACCATCCAACCATCCATCCGTCCAACCATCCGTCCAACCAATCCAACCAATCCAACCAACCAGCCAACCATCCATCCAACCAACCATCCATCCAACCAACCAACCATCCATGCATCCAACCAACCATCCGTCCAACCACCCAGCCAACCAACCATCCAACCATCTTTCCATCCAACCAACCATCCATCCAACCAAGCAACCATCCAACCAACCAACCATCCATCCAACCATCCATCCGTCCAACCAATCCAACCAACCAGCCAACCATCCGTCCATCAAACCATCCAACCATTCATCCAACCAACCGACCATCCATCCATCCAACCATCCATCCAAACCACCCAACCATGCATCACACCAACCAACCATCCAACCAACCAACCATCCATCCGTCCAACCATCCAACCAACCATCCGTCAACCAACCAACCATCCAACATCCACATCCATCCATCCAACCAACCAACAATCCATCCAACCAACTATCCATCCAACCAACCAACCATCCGTCCAACCAACCAACCATCCGTCCATCCATCCAACCATCCATCCACCAACCATCCAACCAACAATCCATCGAACCAACCATCCATCAACCAACCAACCAACCATCCATCCAAACAACCATCCATCCAATCAACCAACCAACCAACCATCCATCCAACCAACCATCCGTCCAATCAACCAACCATCCAATCAACCAACCATCCATCCAACCAACCATCCGTCCAACCAACCAACCAACCAACCATCCAACCAACCATCCGTCCAACCAACCAACCATCCATCCAACCAACCATCCGTCCAACCAACCAACCATCCAACCAACAATCCATCCAACCAACCATCCATCCAACCAACCATCCAACCAACCAACCATCCACCCAACCATCCATCAACCAACCAACCATCCACATCCAACCAACCAACCAACCAACCAACCATCCGTGCAACTAACCAACCATCCGTCCAACCAACCAACCATCCGTGCAACCAACCAACCATCCGTCCAACCAACCAACCATCCATCCAACCAACCATCCAACCACCCAACCAACCAACCAACCATCCAACCAACCATCCATCGAACCAACCATCCGTCCAACCAACCAACCATCCGTCCAACCAACCATCCATCCAACCAACCATCCATCCAACCAACCATCCAACCAACCAACCATCCATCCAACCAACCATCCGTGCAACCAACCAACCATCCGTCCAACCAACCAACCAACCGTCCAATCCATCCGCAAGCGGGTTCAACCCTTCCTTCATTCTCAGATGGCCGAAAGAGCTTGCTACTTCATACGGCACTCCCGCCTCCTTGATGGCCTCGCCATGGGCCATGCTTCCTTTGAACGGACGCTTCCTAAAACGAAACCGCGCTCTTGGAACAAGACGTATGTTTGCGCTCTTTTGATGTTTCTTGTGTGGCGCACGTGGGGTTGGGGTGTTCTTTCCGCACTTGTTTTTGTGTCTGTTTGTTTGTTTGTTTGTTGCTCTTCCTTTCTTCTGCTTTTCACTTTTGCCTCTGTTTCTTTGAGGTGTGTGTGTGTGTGCGTGCGTGCGTGCGTGCGTGCGTGTGTGTGTGTGTGTGTGTGTGTGTGTGTGTGTGTGTGTGTGTGTGTGTGTGTGTGTGTGTGTGTGTGTGTGTGTGTGTGTGTGTGCGTGTCGGGGTTTGGTGGGGCGCTGGCTTTTGGTCTTGGCTTGTCTGGAGTTTTACAAGTTCGCAGGCACCGCCCAGTGAGCCGAGACGCCCACTTGGTGACCTACTTGGACCCATTTGAAATCGATACCCGAAGCCAACTCATTCAAGCATGCGGGACTCAAAGAGCCGCATGCACCTCCTTTGGGCTGCCACCAAAAAAATCTTACTTTGACCGCAGCCAAGCAAATGCACTGAAAGCCAGAGCCAAAAACAACCGCACCAAAACACACATGTTTGTAAATCGTTACAACTTTCCGGGCTGTCGCTTGGGCGTGAACACCATCTGCTCAGCATTGAGCTCAGGAATCTCCAAAGTGCGCCCAATGGTTTTCTACTTCAAAGGGACTTCTTTCAGGTCGCAACTTGTAGTTGTTTTTCCAAGGAGCACAAACCGCTGTACTGCAAACGCCGCCGTGCCCGGATGGATCATTTCCTCTTTTGCTCCGGGCCGCGCGAGCCGGCCGCGTTCTAGAAGGTTGGCCGAATCCGGGCAACCAAAAAAGAGCTCTATCGCGTCACAGCCGTTCAACCTGGCAACTCCGGCTCGTTTCCGGGTGGGCAAGGTGCAAGAACTCCCTCAACACAAATCTAGAGGTGATGTGTAGGCTTCAAGCCTGAAGGCCCGGGCATAGGCCGAGACCCATCTTTGTGCAACTTCGTGCCTTGCAGTTTGGGCCCGCTTGAAACATCACATCATGTGAGGCCTCGTGACGCATTGGACTGACATCGTCCATTCTAAGGTATAGCGCGTGAGTGCTTCTTTCATGGGAAGGCGTTGCTTCTTTGCGCGTCCGATTGCCTTGCCGGGCTTGGCTTGAAGACTTCTGTTTGGGTTTGCAACAAATCACATGCTTCACACATAAGGCTTGCAGCGAAAGACTGACTAGTTGATCACTTAGAGGATTCCGTTTTTAACTCACAGAAAGTCAAGCCTAAAACTCCTTGTCCAAAATCGGCATTGATTGGGCCACAACAAGGGGAGCCTTGAAACATTGTGTCCGGGAAAACAGTCTTACGTGTTTTTATGAGCTGGCACCCCGGAAAGTTGGTTCGCAGGGAAGCCAGAACCGCAATCCGCCCGTTTGGGGTGCGACCTTGAGCTGGATTCAACGCTCGCGCGCGTGATTTTCGAGCGTTGTCGGCTCCACTCAAGCACATCAGGCGAGGAGGGACTAGCTTGCAGCTCGGTTGTTGGACCACAACGATGCACAGGTGTGACACACCAGCCAATTCGTGTTTGGCATGGAAGAAAGAGGAATGAAGGGGTTCCGGACACGTGCAGGTATGCAAACATGCCGATTGTGAAGGAGGCCTCTTCGTGACCAAATCCGCCGTGCCCTTCTGCGGGGGACTGCGCCTGGTAAGGGTGGGTTGCGCACGCGCAGCTGAGTCGACATCTAGATATGCATAAAGATGTGTGCACATTGTTCCACACTCATACCAGCTTGGCTCATTGGCCGAAACGCAGATCGATTGCTGACAAACAAACAGATAGACGGACAGACAGATAGACGAGTAGGTAGATAGGTTATTTTAAACATACTGGGTGTTTGAAACTTTGCGCTCTCCACTGCCCTTCGGGGGCTTGCATCCCCATTTTCCGCAATTTGGACGCTTGTGCGGCCCGCACGTATTCATAAGCTTCACTCAGCTTGTCGTGCGCGCGGCCTCTGCAGTAGACCAACTGGTTCACACCGCCAGTTCGAAGTGAAGAGAAAATTCCCTGGATCGGTCCAGCATCTCCGCCGTTTTCTAGAACGTGGCAGTGCCTAGTTTCTGAGCTCGATTTCACCCTCTTGTGCAGCATCTTTAAAATACACGTCACATAAACGTACATCTATGTAGTCTGATGTGGTTTTTCACTGGGGGATTTCCTCCGTTGTGCTTGCAAATGAAGGTATGCTCGTTGCTGATGTTGCCATGACGCTGGCTCTGAAAATTGCTTCGTTTTGGCGGGTGACTTGAAAGTTTTGGGATCGATGATCTTCTTCTCGCTCGGTTTGTTGCCTTCATTCTCTCCTCCGCTCCGGAAGTGCCATGATGAGTTGCTCTCCCATTGCACGCCCTCGTCTCCGAGGTAAACGAGCAATCAGCCATCCTCATCGTCGATCACTTCTGGAAACCACACAGCGCTTCGGTTTCATCCGCCTGCCTCGCTGGCTTGCTCATAGCATCGTCCGTCTCAGCCTCTGCCTCGTCCTCTATCTCCTTCCGCCCTCCCCGAGGAGTGACCCTCAAACGGTGACGGCTGGCGTTGCAACATGTCATTTTGCACTACCGCAGGAGCTTTCCCCTTCTCGGACTGCTTGTGTCTTCAGTCCTTTGTGAAGTGGACCGGCATGGTAGTTCTTTCTTGTTGCCAAGACATTTGCTCTTGCTGTCGTCTTTGCCTTCAGTCTTCTTCTTGTCGCACTTTGAAAAGAGCTGGCGCTGCATTTTTGCTCTCGTCTTTTCGCGCTTTTGCTGTCTTTGCTGACGCTGCTTCCATGTTCTTCGCCGACATCTCCTTCATGTCTATCTGCCTGTCTGTCGATCAGTCCCAGGAGATATCCCGAGGCCTTTTCAGGACGTGAGCCTGGACATCTACTTCTTGCTGTTCTTGGTTGTGCGGCGCAGCTATCCCTCAAAGTGATAGGTTGGACTGGCGGGATGGTACTTTTCGCCTGTCAGTCACAGCAACCGAATATTCATGCTATGACCATGTACAAGAGCGATGCAGTGCGGGCACAATAACACATCAATGTTAGGGACCGTAACGGCAATCGAACAAGTGGCCATCAGAGTTTCTAGCAAGCGACATCAAAAGGAAGAGGTAAGTTAAGCCCCCGTATCCACTTTGGATGAAGCGGTTGTAGCCAAGAGCGTATTTGGTGGTGGGTTGGTGGCCAAGAAAACCAGCCCAGAGTGAAACAAACAAACTGCTATTTGACCAGGCCGAACAACCGAGCAGAGCTTCAATGAGGAGGGGTCCTCGCCACATCCATCACTCACTGCAGCCCTTGAAGTCAGCTATGGTACAAAAACAAAAGCAGCAGCATTACCCCCTCAGAAGTTGCAGCCAAAGCGTGGCTCTCAAGGACCTCGAGTTCGGTAGTTGTTGTTGTCGTTGTTGTCGTTGTTGTCGTTGTTGTCGTGGTTGTGGTCGCACAGGCAGCCGTGGTGGTGGTGGTGGTGGTGGTGGTGGTGGTGGTGGTGGTGGTGGTAGTCGTGGTCGCGGTTGTCGTGGTGGTGGTGGTAGTCGTGGTTGTGGTGGTAGTCGTGGTGGTGGTTGTGGTGGTTGTCGTGGTGGTTGTGGTGGTTGTCGTGGTGGTTGTCGTTGTGGTAGTCGTGGTTGTGGTGGTGGTTGGACAAGAAGTTGCAGCATCAGTGACATCCCACGCGGTAACCTGAATGGGCCAAAAACATGTGGCATTTGCCGTGTAAGCGGCTTTGGATACGAGTTGGAGAATGCAAACTTGCTCCTACAGGTTCGTAGCTCACTTTGACGTATTGCTATGCATTTCTCAAGGAGCTAGCCGCGCAAGAGCGCGTGAAGGCTTGGCGTTAGCCTGCCCCTTCCCTCAAAGAAGCCTTGCTCCTACGTTTGCCTTCTTTTCTGACCTACCTTTCAGCCTTCCCCCCTCAAATTAAGACAAGGGTCAGAGCAAATGGTGCCGTTTTGTCTGAGACGTGAGGGTATCTGCCAAGGGAGTGAAGTTGGGGTTTCTGTTTCATGTGTGCTTTCTTGATATAGTTTTGAGGGAGCAACCGTCAACCCCCAGGAGAAGGTCGCTTTTGCCGAGCCACGGACGAGGTGCAGGATACGAAGTTGGTGTTCAGCTCCCAGTTGTTCAAATCCCCGATGGCCGCCTGGTCCAAAGCAAGGGCAGCTCACTCCGTGCAAACTTTATCTGCAAACTTTGCAAAAGGACCTACGTCCTCTTTCAGTCCACCTTACACTACTACTACTACTGCTACTACTACTACTACTACTGCTGCTGCTGCTACTACTACTTCTGCTGCTGCTACGTCTGCGACTACTACTACTACTACTACTACTACTACGACTACGACTACTACTTGCCAGGAGGCGGATCAACCATGTAGTCAAATGACGGGGCAGTTGAGGTTCGACTCCCGCGGGGTGACCATGTAAGGTAAATGATCTGCGTCGTCTCACAACTCGATGCGACCGCGGAATACGAACCCTTTTGCTTTGCTTCACAGCTGTGTTTGGATGTTTGCCTCGATCCTATTATCAAGGTCTTGAGCCTGATGCATTCGCATGTACATGTCGGCTGCACGCAAAACACAATCCCCTAAAAGGTTTAGGACCTTGAACAAGGGGAAGTAACAGGGTGACCCTCAGAACCTGCCCTTAGGATGTTTTAGCCTGCGGCTCGGAGATTCTTAGCATCCCCCATCCCGGGCTAGGGTTCATCCCTGGGTCGGGAACCAATCACGAACGCATGCCGACACGCATGAACGCATGGCTTTTCTTTTTGAAACGTCTCTGCACGAGCTTGGCCAGGTTCTGTAAACTGAACATGAAATGAGAATGCTACAGGTCTCTTACCGGACCTCATGTGCACTTGTACAGATCCATAGCAGTCTGCAGAAAACGAATATTCATGACGAGCATAGTCCATCACCAATTTGTAGCCAATAATAATTGTAGCATCGTAAAATCGTTGGCCACCAAGTACCTGGCATCTCCAGAATAGTAGTCGCCGATGACGATACTGTACGGAAACAAGAAAACATTTTGTGGTGATAAATGCAAGTCTCATGCAAATACTTTTGGTTTGCCCAGTGTACCATGCACGACGAGTACCACCAGGGCTGACCATGATACCATTCACGACGAGTATCACGATCCCGTTTTGTATATAGCTGCAAATTCCAGTTGATCCCCCATGTAGAAGAAATCGTAGAGAAAATGCTTGATCACCAGTGTGATGCTTCTGCGATGGCCTTTCTACTCGCCCTCCATCGGAACCTTTCTAGCAGAGATTGTGGTGTCTCCTCGGTCCGATTGATCTTCTCGATAAAGCGCATGTATATTGCGTGAATAGCACCATTGGATCAGAGGAGTGTCGACCTCTTTGGCGCTTTGACTGCACATAATGGCGCCAAGCTCAAGTTTCAAGAACTTGCGTCCAATGTTCATTCACATCTGTTCGGTAGAAGGTCATGTAATCGCAGTTGAGGCCGAGGGCGATGCAACGGAAAATTGTGTCGCTGACGAAGGCAATGTCCTTCGGATGGCTGACACCTCTGAACTGCTCTGCTTTAATACCAAGTATGTTGCAGGAGGTCCATATACAGCCCTCTGAGCTTCAGGAACCAAAAGAACATTTCTTCGCCCCTGTCGTTTTCGCTTTTGAACCTCACATTTTTGAACTTAGGAGCGGCAGTGACCTCTTCATAGGTTGGCGGGATTGGAATGTTCGTTTCATCGACATCTTTGAAAATCCAATCGTCCCTCCCGTTGATCGAGATGTAGGGACAGTATAGCCCGCCTTCGTTGCCAGGCTCCTTGACCACATCTGCCTCGTTGTTGGCGAATACCTTCCATACTTTGAAAAGTACGACGCCAATGAATCCAGAGAGGTATGGTGCCTCGCCGGCTTCGTCAACGCAGATGGCGCTGACTTGCAGGAGATGAATTGCGTCCGCATCCTCCTCTGGGTTGTCCGGACAAACTCCCACATCTTCATCGTCGATGTCCGTCCCGATATCCGACGGGATGTACGATCTGCGTACAGATCGTTCCTCACTCATCTCCTGGGTGTCGGGTTGTTCTTCCTCGGCGACGAATCGCCCAGCATCTTCTTTTGCTTCTCGCTGAGCTTGTTTCACTTCCTCCGTCACATTGGTGAAGGATGGTTCGAACTTGCCGGTAGAAATGAACTCACCTTCGCATGCCGTGCAGTAGCAAAATCCCCTTGGAACAGTGATAGCGCACGCTGGGCATACTCTGTTGGAAATGCTTGATGGGTCGTCCTCGCGGTAGACGATGAATCTGCTGAGCAAATCCCGGATCTCTACCAACGATTTGTCCAAGGCTTCGGGCACTCCGACGTTGACGCGCGCATCGACGACCATCTTCTTCAGGATGTCGGCATCAGCTGAATCTTCATCGTCCAGGAAACTGTTGAGGTTTCCAAGAAAGTCCGCCGGGGTCACGCCCACAGCATCCTTAAATCCTGGACGGATCTCGCTCTCGACTGCACGGGAGTAGATCCGCTTGACCTCTTTCACAGGCCCTTTCTTCGTGGACTTGAATCTCCAGATTGCCCTTATCTCTTTGAAGGGAATGGTCTCGAAGGCAGCGATCGTTCCTCCCGATGTGACCCTGACCCTGACTGGTGCACAGACAACTTCCTTGTCGGCATGTGGATGGCGATGAGGTCATCTCACTCCTTGACATCGTGCATTGCGGTCTTGGTCGAGATGTTTTCACTGTCCCAAGGTGCAAATACTCCGAAGTGTACTGCCAGCCTTCGTGCACTGTCATTGCCGCCAGGAACGATACCTCTCAAAATGATACCTTCCAGGGCTGATGGCTTTGTCACGTGAAACGCTCCGCCCAAGCGATCGGACATGTTCGGGAACAATATGTTGCAAAGTTCAGCAGGACGAGCGAATCCAAAATCCGAATGCCCTGATGACGCTCGAATGCACCATGGCTGCCACCATCCGCCATGCTCGCGACGAATCCAGTCAACGTCTTTCTTCGACCATCCAGCCGCTATGAGACCCGCCATCGTCTCCATGTCGATCTCCTGATCAAACTTCGCAGCAAGGCTCTGCAGTCTCGGCTTTCGTGCTCTCCGATCCTCCGATCAGATGCGCTCGGTGACCATCTGAAATCTGTCACCTTTCTTGTAGCGATCCTGCGGAACACATTCTCGCGACTCAGGATGTGGTCGATATTTACCCATCCTCCGCCATTGCAAGGAATAGTGCTCCCCCACTTTTGGCCGATTTGGTGTCGTAGGATCTTCACCAGTGCTTTCGACGTGTGGAACAATTCTTGGTGGTGAGTGTTATAACCGAACGCTGTGTACTCGCTGTACGGCCAATAGGGAAAACTAGTGTCTTTGTTCTGCATGTTCATGACTTCCAAGTGTAATCCCTTTGGCAGCGTGCTGGTCATGCACGAAAATCCTTGTACACCTTTGCAAACAGCCTCATCACCGAGTTTGAGGAATCAGAGAGAGGCTTCTCCACCAAACGAATCGAGCATGTGGTTGTACTCCTTCATGGTTCCGTTCGGATTCGTGTGTAGGTCAAGTTGACCAACATGGAGTTCTCCTCCTTCTGCCAGATCAGCCATCTTGGAGAGGTTCATGACGTAGTTGTACTTGTGAAACTCCTCCCTCGGATAGAAGACCGGCTCCTCCGCTTCCGGCTGATGCGGTTTGTCATGAGGTTCGCTGGCCATCGGATCCAATTCTTCATCATTATCAGGAGCCTCCATTTCGATGTCTTCATCGGATGAGGGATGCCCTTCTGGAAGAAACAGCTTTGTGATCTTGCCACGTGCCGAGTCAGACTCAGTTGCTCTTGCGGTGTCTTTGCAAGTCCCTTCGTGGGATTCTTTCCCGCACTTCATGCAAATCTGCAGTTCGCCAGCGCGATCGCAAAGATCCCCAAACATGCGCAACAATTCTGCTCGTCTTGAGGCGATGTCCTCGACTCTCGACTGTTTGGCTTCAGGCTCCTCGGCATCATCGGGTTGAAGACCACGATCAGCCTCGCTTTCCTCCTTTGACCTGATGAACCGGCTTCCTCGATATCAATAAACGGATTCGAGTACTCCAGTCTGTCCATGATGTCCCTGACGGTCCTGCTGGGAACTTCCATGTGCTTGACTGTGCCGCTTCTCTTCCTGTTAAGGCCCGTCATGTGGTTGGTCATGTTTTCCCTGACGAACTTCAGGAACGTGGCTTCCAGCATTGGTCGGTATTTTGGCAACTCCTTCCCGAAGTAGGATATGACGTCAAAGAAACGCTGTATACGCCTCGTGGATGCGTTGGTTCATGTGTCAAGAGCAGGCATATCGTGTTTTTTCCACCGACAATGAGGAGAAGTTGGGAGATGGACTGGAGACCGTTCTCGGATTCTTGGTCTTCTTCTCCTTCCTTCCATCGGGCGACGTACGACAGCTTGTCAACCCACAGTTGCTTCCCATTGCTGCTGCGGAAGTAGTCTGCAAAGGAGTCCTTATCGAGCGTGATGCCACCGATTTGCGACAGCTCCTTCGCGAACTTCTTGTTGAACAGGTTCACGATGAGGTGTTGCACGAAAGCTTCCTTGTCCCCATCGAAAACGCACTCAAGCTCGTTGATGTCGCTGAGCACCAGGCTGCATTCAGCAAAGAATCTTTTCATGATGTTGGGGCGGTCCGCCCCTTTGTACATGGTATTCTGCTCGATCAGCCCGTTCGCGTGACAGTTGATGCATGTATTCGCATTGTACTGATGATCGGCCGTGGATTGAGCTCCTTCTGCATGACATTGTGCGCAGAGTAAATCCGCCACGTCATTGAAGCAGTACCACTTCGTTCGCATGTCGTCGCCATCCTTCCTACCGAACGCCTTGCCCCTCATGAAATTTCTTCTGTTTGTTGAAGTGAGCAGTGAAGTCCGGCTTGTAGTGATAGCGGACATTTCCGCTTGTTGCGCCCTGAGGCACATTGAATTGCAGCGGGGACACGCCCACACATGCATCTTCCAGGTCGGAAACCGTTTGTGCATCCAGCGCGAGCACATCCATGATCATCTTGACGATCAGCCTCTTTTGCAACACGTAGAAGAGCTTGGAGTCTCCGGTGCAGCTATAGTTGCTGTCCGTCAATCCAG